TGGGAATTACTACACCACACTGACCTGGGTGTCTTCACACACTAGCGAGAGAGCTGCGTTCTGCTGCGGGTAGCCGGCGCTCAACAATGATGAAACGATCGTTTACTGTTCTGGTAGACGTATTGTTGTGGGTTTATCCTACCTACACTAGTAGCTAGAGTTGCCGTGGGAATTACAACACCACAGTATGGCCAAGGTACGGTCATTGACGAAGCAGTCCACGAAGGCGGGAAGCGAAGGCGCGTGGAGAACGCCAAGCGCAAGGCAGACGACGCGGAAGCCGAAGTGAACGAGGTGGTGGAGGCTTGGACCGAAAACGACGTATTCGACGGCGACAGCAGGCTGTCGCGACACGAGCAGAGACGGCGGTCCGGCGTGAACAACGAGCGACCACTACAGAGAACCACTGCGGTATTGGTCAGAAGGTGAGCTTGGTGCAACGGAACCAAGGCCCTACCAGTGTGACGACAACGCGTGTGACGAACGAAGCGAATGTATCGGCCGACGACGGGCTACCTACCGCGTTGATGGTGGTGGACGACGAGTGATGGCCAGTCAAACTCGACAGCGGAGCAAGGTATTCTGTCGCTGGCACCGACTGGATGCAACGAGGTGAACGACTGCGGAAGACGGTTCCTGTAGAGCATGCTGAAGGTATAGGAGGCTTTCTGCTAGACGTAATCGGTGTCTGGGCGTTCACGATGCGCAATGCATTTGGACAGGCGGTCGAGGTGGAGGCAAATATCATCGACGGATGCACAGATGAATTCCTGATCGGTGTGGACTTCATACAAAGTCACAAGGCCGACATGGACTTTGCACGGAACGAAGTGCGTTAGTTTGCGCAGAATACGAAGGTGGTAATACCGTTCCGCACGGAAGGAACGGACAGTGGAGCCAAGGTAGCGGCGGTGAGACTGGTGAGGCGGACAAGGGTCGCTCGGAGCGCGGTGACGCCGATAGAAGTTACGGTGGCGGCGCGATACGGTGAAGAAGGGATCTTTGTTCTAAACGGACGCTGTGGTACGGTGATATTAGCGACTACGGTCACGCGTGCAAAAGTGGGGCAAGGTACTCGTGCCTGCTATAAAAGTGCAGGGCGGTCAAGTCAAACTACCAGCTAAGAAGAAGTTGGGCACTTGGGTGCCGATCGACGACGACATGAAGGTGTTGGAGTTCAATGGTGAGCTTAAGTACGACAAGTTGGACGAGTGGTTAAGGAACGGAGGAGGTCGACACTCGATGGTTAGTAGTAAAGCTGTTGCGTGCTTACCGTGACGTGACAACAAGTAAGGGCGACTGCCCACCAGTGACCGAACGGGACGTGCACCATCACATCGATACGGGCGACGCTGCGCCTATCATGATGAAACGGCGACGACAGGCGCAAACAGAGGACGCTGTTGTGGAGGAGAGCGTCTCGAAGATGCTGAGGGCGAACGTTATTGAAGAAGGAAATGGTGCGTGGGGCTTCCCCGCCGTCCTGGTGCGAAAGAAGGACGGCAAGGTTCGCTTCTGTATCGACTACAGGGCCCTTAATAAGATCACGAAGCGCGACGTCTACCCGTTACCAAAGATCGACGAAACCCTTGAGGCTCTCGGTGGCTCCAGACTGTTTACGACGTTGGATCTTCGGTCTGGATATTTGGCAAATTAGTGTGGCACCAGAAGATCGCGACAAAACCGCATTTACGACGGAGCAAGGTTTGTACAGGATCATTAGAATTCCATTTGGCTTAATGAATGCACCTTCGACCTTCCAACGGGAATGGTGTTCTACGCGGACTTACCTGGACGACATGCTTGGTGTACCTTGACGATATCGTGATATACACGCGTGGCGGTATAGAACAGCATTTGGTGCAATTGGCGGCGGTATTGGAACGGCTGGTGACCGCTGGCTTAACGTTGAAGCTCAAGAAGTGCGTTTTTGTGGCGATCCGGATGGAATATCTGGGCATGAATTGAGTAACGACGGTGTGCGGCCGGCTGAACGATTAGTGACGGCGGTGAGAGAATTTCCACGACCAGGCAACCCGGTCAAAGTGAAGCGGTTTGTACACTTGGCAGGGTACTACCGTAAGTTCATAGACAATCATGGCACCGATGACTAGGCTCCTGAAGAAGGACTGCGAGTGGCAATGGACGGAAGAGCAGGAGTTTGCGTTTGAAAGAGTGAAGGCGATGCTTACGACGAGACCGTTGCTCGTCTACCCGAATTTTGAGCTTCCATTCCAGCTGGCGACGGATGCCAGTAAGACAGGACTGGGTGATTGTCTAATGCAAGATCAGGGGCGAGGTTGGCAGCCGGTGGCATTCGCCAGTAAGGTGAACAGCACCGCGGAGTCAAACTATTCAATAACTGAACTGGAATATTTGGTGGTCGTATGATCGGTGAAGCTATTCCGTCCGTATTTGTACGGAAGGACGTTCTCTATCATCATCGACCACGCGGCACTTAAGTGGTTTATGACGAGACCGAACTTAGCCGACAGGCTTCATCGTTCGTCGTTAATTTTACAAGAATACGAGTTCGATATTATATATAGGCCCGGCACCACGAACGT